TATGCTTCCTTTCAATTTTTTGTTTTTTGATTTTTATTTTTTGTTTATTTTTTTTATTTATTTTTTGGTTTTTTTCTTTTTTGCTCTGCCAACATCTGTTCCCACGACCAATACATCGCATCCTGATAGTGACGAGAAAAAAAAAGTTAGAAAAAAAAAATAAACTACTTTTTTCTGCAAAATATTTTTTTTTTTCTGTTTTATATGCTTATGAAGTAATTTTCCATACATAAATTAACGTCTTTATTTTATTCTGCAGTATTTTTTGCCTTTTGACATTTCTTTAAATCATTTGCTTTAAATCATTTGTTACCATCAATGAAAATTCATTCATTGGACTGTTGTTTGGCAGTGTTATTACTGATACTACTGATACGCTACTGCTACTTACTGATGCCAACAAAGCCACTAATGGTTTTGCTAATATTGACAACATTTATTGTCTCATCAACTGTCAACCAGACAAATACTTTGGACAATCGATCATTATTGGGAAACATTGTTGATTCATTTCTTTTTTTTCCTGAAATAGGACATCATACTGATGGAAGCAACAATAACTATGTTAACGAATGCAAAAAAAAAAAAAAAAAAAAAAAGGAGTTTCTCTTTTGGACAAAATAAAATTTAACATATAAATACACGTGTACTGCTTCCACGGATGAGCAAAAAATTCTACAAAATGGCGATAACATTTCCTGCACCATCTGTAAAACCTTACAAAATTATTGTCATTTCACTGTCACACTTACTAACCAATGTACATTTTACTGACATAAATACAGCGAAGTGACGAGATATGCTGAAGATTTATAAAAGAAAATTAACAAAAAAGAGCAAAAACTGCATTTAAGATATCTAAAAGTAGATAGGTAAATAAACTTTAAAAAAAAAAAATTGTTATGATATCATAGAAGCAATATGCGTCTAATTAAAAAAATGGTAAGTTTGTCTCCGATAAATAACAATATATTACCAATCTTGACTATTCAGATAAACCGCAGCTTGTAGTTTAATCAATTACTTCTTTGACAACAAATTTATAAAAAACAGGCGATTAGTAGTAGATGGGTGATAAAACATAGCCGGAACAAAATTTGGTGCTTCAAAATATGCATCATGTCTGGCCTGAACGAAATTACCTTCTACTAACACCTCTTTTTTTGACACCAATTTCCTTCATGCATATTTAACGTTGATTTTCAAAAAGCACTTTGAAAAACAAAGCTTTGTGATCCATAAAGAAGGTTTTATTAAATCATCATATTCGATTCATTGTTGCTGCTGTTGTTGTTTGTGTTATCTTGTTTCCTTTTAATTACATATATAACTGCAAATGAAACTAATTTCTTAGACAGTAGTGAGACCACTGTGTTAAAGAGATAGGTAACCATAGAAATTTTGATGTATATATCTGGAATTCTATAGTGTAATAGTTTTATGATCAAATATAGTACACAATTTTTTGATTAAACATGACCTATTAAAACTGAAACTAATGCAACGCCAGACTTATCACCTACCTTAAAACACCGAACATAGGCAACTGTACAGAAGTGTCAAAATGACGACGACGGAAGCCGCAGTAGCGATAGCGATGATGGAGGTGATAATTATCAAAGCAAACAGAACACCGATTTTGCCCGTTAATGATTGACGTCTTTTAGACGGCTTCATCGAACCATGACAAAACAATTTTTTATACTTCATTTTTTTCTTCTTGGAATCTTCAGCGTACTATGCTGAGCAGATATATTTTCATGTTTTCTAAATAAACGTAGAGACAGACAAAACTCTTCTCCTCTCTTTTTTTTTTTTTCTATTTTAACATCATCGGCCACTGTGTAGGAAAAAATGCCGATTATTTTTTTAACACTTTATTGCTTACTTGAAACTATTCAGTTGCATAAGAAAACATAAAATTGTATAGTATTTTAACCAGTTCTCCTCTTAAAAGCTGCTAATGATAAAAAGTAACAATAAAAAAAGCTATCATTTCTATCGCTGTTACTGTTATTTATAATGTTCTTATTAATATTATAGACGTTATCAATATCGTTATTATTATAGCTAATGTTGTTATTATAACCATAATTAGTTGTGTAAACAATTTTGTTTGGCTTCTTTTAAAATCTGTGTACGTTCGGCCAATTTGGTTAATGATGATAATCGGTTACTCAAATGTCGGATATTGTGAATAATTGCGGTTCTAATTGATTGTTGTTGTTGTTGTTGTTGTTGTTGTTGTTGTTGTTGTTCTCCCGCTACCGCTGTTGCTGTTCAGCCGATATAACATTATCACTAATTCAAATTTTTTATCCAGCCCTTAAATCCATCCCTTCAATTACTTTTAATCGGTAGATCAAAAACACCTGATCAATTAACAAGCTACTTTTAAAAATTCAGTTAACTACATCCATATTCGTCTATAACTAATGACTAACTCTGTCAGCAAAATCGATGATAACAATTCTTATAAGCAAACTCACCAGACAAATCATTAGCAATGGTTCATTCAGCACTAAAAACACAATCAAAATAGATACAAGTTTTGATACAATCGTGTCTACAACAATCCTACCCTTCAAACTTTCAAGGAAACAAACTGTTCAGCAGTATACAGAGCAACTGCTCCCTTAATTTAAAAAATAAATTTCAGATAAATCATATCAAAAACTTCATAGCAACAATTCAGAAGGAAGCATAAAACCGGTTATCCATAGCTTGCGGTAGCATCAGATTACATCAGAACTGAGCATTAATACTTCAACCATTTCCTTTTTTTTTTCTTTTTATTCTTCCTTCCTTATTTTAAGCAGTTTAGAAATTTTATTACAGTGGCAGTCTTACAAACATCGTAAAACTTCAAAGTTTCTGAGGAAACGAATTATTGATAAATCAAGAAGAAATAAAATTAAATTTGGTCAAAAAAAACCTACTCTAACTCATCGCCATTTTTCAGAAAAATATTTTATTTTACTGAAATTATAATCAGGAGATTACTCAACCCAAGCACACGCTTCCCAGTAATTTATCCTATGCAAATCTTTGATTTTTCTTTTCCTCCTTCCCTTCGCCACCATTCTAATGGAATTCTGTTATAACTTCAAAAGCACAACATTTGAAACTTTCTAGGAGTTAAGGAACAATACAATTCTTGTTAATTACATCCGTAGACATCTATGACAGCATTTTTTAAAACAAGCATTTTTATGTGAATTTCCACAAAAAACCTATAGAAACCAAGTTAAAGATACGAAATGCGAAGCAACTCCGCGTCACCAACCAACTAAACAGTTAAGGCCTTAATTAATTACAGAAGCATGAATTCTAAAGATGTAAAGATGATGTGTACATACGCACAAACACAACTGTTCAATTGATGAGGTAACCTCAGTTTCTCCCCAGAAAACTGCAGACAACGAAGAGTGCTACACGCATAACAGTGACGTCCACTGCAAAGTTGTCCAAACTGTACTACCCACCGTACTGTCCCATAACTTTCAGCACTTCCAGACTAATTAACACATGAATCAGCATCTTTCAAAGACTAGAGCCACTAATACGTCAAAAAGCACACCTTTCAAACGTTCCCATCACCACCCTGTTTTGAAAACATCAACCCACTGTCCCTACAAACTTGCCTTCTTCCAATCCTTCGCCGTTTAATCGTGAACAGTGAGGAATCTGCATATAAGTGGTACCCTACAAACATCACTGCTGCAAAAACTTGTAAACCATAGCTGAGATCTCCGTAACCGCTGTTTCCCTAAACACCTTAACCACTAAATCGTCACCTGCCAAAAAACAGTGCTATTCTATCCTACTCCTCTTCTTGTGATTTCCAAAATGCCAATACCGAACTTAAAATACGTCAAAGGCAAGTTTTAAAAGTGGTCTTCAAAAAGGTGAACTACTAGCTTCATTACAAAAACCTCAATTCCAAAGGTTTAACCGTATAAAGTAAAAAAGTAACCAGTTCAGGAAAAAAGTAAAATCCCAAACAAATCAAAATTTCCAATAAGCTTTTTTATCCAAGAAAAAAAAAAATCAATACAAATAGGTACGACGATAAAAAAACAATGCATAGATCGAAATAAAACATATTTTGTAACAGCAAATATCAAAACAAAATGAACTTTCAACAATAGCTCTAATAAGAGAAATTCATAATCCCAGGTTTGTCAAATGCTGCATATGCCCCTCTACTTCTGCATGTTTGCGGCTTATTCCAAGAGAAATAAAGCGATTGAAAAAGCCAAAATAAATTTAAATTACACATGTACAAATAACTTGCTACTATTCACGAAACGACTCACGCTCAAAGTTGAATAAGTGAGTAATTTAGCGGAACTGAAAGCCGATTTCAATTTTGAAAAACTTTTCACATTTTCTCAAAGAGAACGCCTGCTTCAAATTTTCAAAAAATTTGACTCTACCGAAGAAAAAACAAATAAATGAAGGAAACAATAGAAGCAAAATGAATTGAATAAACATATCCTACACATCTTTTGTAATGTTACTTGCTTCTTATAATTCTCAAACTGGCACATTCAAAATTAGATGCAAGCTGTTGTTTTCGTACCGTTTTGAAACTTTTTACAATTCTCTATCTGAACTTTAAACCAACAATTAGAATTTAACATATTAAACTTAATTCAATCCTACACAATACATGAAAAGAAATGACAAGACAACTGTTAAAATTATAACCAACAGTTGAAAAAAAGTTTTGCAAATATATTACAGAAAATATCCTTATGTAACAAAAACAAGTATGTCGGTCATACCTTTACTGAAGTGAAATTTATTTCACATCAGGAAGGTTATTTAGCAACACTTATTAAACTTATGCCTAAATTTAGACAACTTGAAGAAATAAAAATTTATAAATTGCACATCTATCACAGGCTACCGTCAATAGAAGTCTACAATAACTCAAAAAGCACAAACAATTAAAACCAGATACCGAGAGGTGTATTTAATAAAGTCTCGTTTAACTATGGTTTCGTAGGACGAACAACGTCTTTTGGTTCGTATCCATACATAAACGTTGAACCGATAACGATTGTTGCTCCAACAAAAAAGGTTCTGAAATTCAAATAATATATCCTTTTGGCAAAACTTCATTCTACTCTACTCGCCAACTGTTCACAAAAGTCAAAAACAATGACGAAACTACCACCGGTTGACACGACTTCAAAGCAGTTAGAATGAGCAAGAGCGCTCCTACCTTCATAAAAAACTTCAACTTTTTGTTTCAAGATCAAAGAAAAATGAAGAATATTCTGCAGTTCAAAAGAATCCGTAATTATTTTTTCCCACTGATTTAATTTGAATTTACACAACAATTAAAATTAATTATGTCTCACAAAGTCGGTTGGAAATCATTGAGGAACCAGTAAGATATGAAACTGGAGAGTATTATAGATAAAGAAACAGCAAAGCCTTTCAGTATGTTATCGGCATATTTCACTACTAAAGCAATTAGAAGACCTCCATATGCCTAAAAACACTTTAAATAATAGGGAGCCAAAATTATTTTTAAATAACTTTTAAAGGCAGCTTCCAAACAACAAAACCGTTATCCACTGGTTAAAACCAGAATAACACCATTACTGAATTAAAAAGTAATGAAGTAAATCGGATAATACTCAAGTAGATTCAAAGGAAAGAATGATCAAGAGCATGTTCACAAACAAAAGCCAACCTGTAGTAATACCACAATCCAAATTATAGTATTATATCCTGCAAAAAATCCGTTCTTCGCCACCTTGTCTGAATCATATAACCATACCATAAAAAGACCTCCAAAAACACTAAAGAATGCTGAAATAGATACCAGTAAAACTTTGCGTTGCAAAGCTAGAAGGAGATTTGGAGAAACCACAAAAAAAGCAGCTCATAGTAAGATTTGTTAAAGATGTACTAGAAATAGAGAAAAACAAAAAATTATAGATCGAAAGATTTGAGAGAACCTAACATTCACTTAAACTTAACCGAGCTGAATGTTTCTCATCCACAGTGACACAGGAGTACCCTTTAAAATTTTTTCGAAGTAAACCCCAGCAAAACCGCTAGAAAAACATGCCGCCAATACTGCTAAAAACCCCAAAACACGATCAGAGTTGACAACGGAATCCCCGAATCCAGAAGATGGCTTTTTTTGGTCACCAGGCAACTAAAATATATCAATAAGAGACCGAAATTTGCTTAAAAGACTTGGCGTAGAAACACAGGTAGTGTCTGAGAAGATAGCGCACCTGCACAAGTGCAACTCCACCGGTTAGCAAGAGTAACGATACCCATTTTAAAAGATTTAGTTTTCTAGATAATAACGTGACAGAAAAAAGCGCTGTTGTTAAAATTTTCAGCTGATACGTAACCTGCAAAAGTATCGTATAAACTGTATGTGAATTAGAGAAAACGAAAAAGGTAAAGAGGTTTGTTGCATGAGAGGAAGAAAGAATAAAGAAATAAATGAAAAAATAAAATAGACCATAAAAAATAAAGTACTTATGAAAAAATATGCAGACCTGATAAGTTGCCGCATCTAGCCTAGAAAGTGCGTAAAAAAGTAAATTATTCTGAATAACATAAAGCAAAGCTGGAACTCCAACTTTGAAGGTTTCTCGAGATTTAACAATAATATCATTATGAATTTCCGTATAAAAACCAGCCACATTCCAATCTTAAAGTAAGGATCTATTAGACATTCAAAGAAAGAGAGGGCTGTAATCAACCGAAAAAACTGAAAGTTTTATACCGAAATACTAAAAATTCTATTTCTCGGTACTCTATACACGACTGTTAAAAAAACAACTCCTGGTTGCAATTTACATAAGTAGTTTTGAGAAAACTCTAATCAGACATATTAGGTGCTCGGGAAGTGGAAACAATACCAAAGACTCACTATGCTGAGCAGCAAGCACAAATATACACGTGAAAAGCTTAACAACTTCAGCAGTGACTACAGCCGTTGACGACAAATAACGCGGACCTTCGGTCTTCTGGGTACGTGAATAGCGTAAAACTAATACCAACGCTGTGGTCTGCAATATCAGGACGACCAAGGATACCCATTTGAGGTTTTTTGGCGCAATCAATCCACCTTTCTCCATTGTATCTTTCCCCCTGTAATAAGAACAATAACAAGGCAAAAAAACGTCAAATTTAAGAAAAAAAAAACCATACCCAAAACAAAAAGAGCGGAAACAACAACAACAAAACAAAACAAAACAAAACAAAAGACAAGACAAAAATTACGTATCATTGAAAGGTTTTCTTTATCAAATGAGAAAAGCGAAACTAACTACACGTATAACATTGACATAAAAAAAAGCCATGTAGGCGGCATAAAAGGAATGTTTGATGAGCAACAACAGAGCAAAATGAAAGTGAATAGTCAGTTAAAAAAAAACATAAAAAATGAAGGTTTAACGCGGTATTATACGCAATAAAAAGATTGTTGAACAATGCATCGTATAAAAAATAAAAAACTAAGAGGAAAGCAGAGCTTATTCCAAAACAAAAAACGAGAGAGGCAAAAAGCAAGCTTTTTTAAAGCTTCCACATCACAACAGAAGCAACGATGACAGTTGTCTTTTTTTTTTTTTTTTGTATACCAATAATGTACAATGGCCTTATACTACATCGATATTTCGACTAAATGCAGCACCTATTTCTATGAATATTCTGCTGGATATATGCGAAAAGAAAGGCAGTGAAGAAAAATGCGGGGAATCTCATCTAGTATCTACAAATATAAACGATAGTTGTGCGCATTTCGTTGGAAATTTTTTCAACACACGAAGCACTGTTGTTATTAATGCCATTTTAATATCTAACTGATGAAATCACCAGCATCTTTTTAGTCATCGTAACGAACAAAAAAAAAGTATACATATATATATAATGGAAACGAAAAGAAAGACAAAAATACATGTTTTTCCAACACGTATGATCGCCATTGCATGAAAAAATTAGCAGAAATTTTCTTTCAAGAAACTCCAAGGCCGTAATCGTCGCCTCTCGCAGCTCCGCCAAACGACGGCCATCCCACTGAATACACGTAAAAATGATTGTTGCGGCCTTTCGCCCCAACAATGCGGCAAACAGAACGGCCAGTCAGTCAGTCAGTCAGTCAGTCAGTCAGTTAGTTAGTTCTCACTCATTCGTTCACTCAGCTGCTCACTAATTCGTTTACTTTATTCAGCCTTCCGTTAGTTCGACCAAACCGTCAGTCCTACACGTTAAGCCTTTTGATCAATGGTTGGAAGTATTTTGTGCACACCCACCGGTTCATAACCTTCATCACTGTTTAATTCTTCTTCTGTGAAGCTGAACGATAAACTGCGATCAATAACTGTTGTAATTGTATGTTTAATTTTAACAACTGTTCTCAGATTTGTTTCGTATGTTTTACTCCTTTTGGTATCGGATGGACCCATTAAAGCAATATTCTGATGTAAAATGAAAAAGTTTGATATATCTTACAGAGAACATAGCAGCTTAGTACTAGAGCACTTTATCGAATCATACAAAAACAAAAGTGTAAAAAAGAAACTAGTGTTGTTCAAAGAAAAATAGTCAATTTAATTTCAATTTGCCACCCTATTTGCATATCAAGTCATATTATTTAAGCACAAAAGAGAGAAGAAAATTTGCAAACCCTTACACATCAGTTTTTGAAAAGAGAATGCAAAGTGTTTATAGTTAACCGTTACATTGAAACACGTTAAATGTTGCGATCCCTTTTTTTTTCTGATGCTTGTCCGCGTATTTGGCTTTTTAGGTCCGAACATTCAGATGACTTCAGTGAGAAGTACCGCAGATTTGAACCGCTTCCAGTAAGAAATAATGAAACGACCAAATTATCACGTTACCGGTTCAAAAGCCACTTTTATTTGTGTAGAAAAGACTACTCTATTTACTTTTACAAAAAAAAAAAAAAACGTTTTGAGAGTGTCAGGTAAGTTTTAGTTTAATTATACAAAACAATTAAAAAATTTTTTGTTTTCTTTGTTCAGGAACAAAACCCAGCAGTTTCCAACATTGATTCCGGAAAAAATTTACTTGGGTATATACATTAAAAGATATTTTTTTACGGCTGTTTTCTTTTGTTTATGTCATATTGGCAGTACCATATCTTTAAGCACATAGCGCTTACGCTCTTTTTGGGAAAAATTAACCAGTAGGTAATCTAGAAAAGTTTTTGTTATTCTGATTAGCTTCTGCCAAATAAGCTTTTTGTTTTTGACTGAACTTCCCAGTGCGAGAATGAGTTGTCTCATCATCATCTATCTTCTAATAAATGATGATAAATTTCAGGAAGTAAACTTCCTTTTTCCATGGCCCTCGTTGTATCCTCCTCGGTTTGCCAATTAGTGTCTATCTAGGTGAAAAGTGAAACTTTTTTCATTGTTATTAGATAGACAGATGATTCATTTAAACGGGTCACATCAGTTATCAAATGACGTGGACGACACGATTAGAAAAACAAAACAGACAAAGAAGAGCAACAAAAGAAGATTTGTTTAAGCTTGTAAAACTAACGTTTTAAAAAATGAAATTGACAAAAACTGAATAGAGGAGAATAACTATTAAAAAAAGCAATGTAATCCGCCTAGAATAATTTTTAAGGAAGACAACCACCGATGGTAATAATAGTGACATAGTGCAAGACATGTTTTCAATCAGGTAAATTGGTGTAAAGTAAAAGAATGCCATTTACAGACAACTAACAAAGTCAAACCTTGTATTATCCGCTTTTTGAGTTGTTGGCAGTGTCTCTTCTTTACCGACATCTGAACTAGACATCGTGATACCACACGTTTACAGCCGTTTATGTGCCTTAATTGATAGGTTTCGAGTTAAGAAAGCGCATGGAACAGAAATACAAACTAACAGAAAATAAAGACAACAACGTAACTACCAATGCTAATAAGAAGTTTAAAAATTAGCTATTACATACTACGGCACCGACCAATAAAAATAACATCATTTGAGTAAGCGGTCTTAAATTTCAAAAAGAAAAAAAAACAACGATCATTTGTTAATTCGACTATGCAGAAAAAAACTATAGTCGTCAACAGATAAAATTGTAAATTTTCTGTTTTTAAACTATTTATACCGTCACTGAAAACTGAATTACAGCTAACAAAAACGTTCAAAGGTGGTTTTGGAACGAGGAATTATTTAGGCCTCACGGTGCTCTAAAAAACTTAAATTCTCTGCGATATTTTGTCGGAACCATTAGGGTTTACCTTCAGTCGTCCAGAAATTTCTCGCTGATTGAGACACTAGTTATCAAGATACCGAAAGCGAAGATTTTATGGCTAGATTTCTTGCCAAGTTTTACTAGAGTTCCTGTCTTCCTTGGAAGGATGTTTTTGCCCCCTTGCAAGTCTCTCCTCCTCGGAACTGAAGACGACAAAGGAAAATTTGAAGGCGGAGCTCAGGGGTTGATTGGTAAGCGAAGAAAAGAAAGGAAAGCTAGTGTTCTTAAATCTTTCATCTTACTTTTTTTTCAACTTCTGCAGCAGAACAAAACTGGAAACTGCTATCAATTTTATAAGCAAATTTAATTTAAAATTTCCATTCTTTTTCTCACCCTGTAATTATAGGAGTTTTACAAGATGCTTGCTGTTTTCTTGCTTTTGTAACACCTAAAGTTTGCTTTTTCATCAGTTCCTCACCCCTCTCCCCCTTCATTATGCAGTTTTCTACGTGTGTCGCG